CCTGTCTGATTCCAAAACTCTTACCCCCTTCTCCACACTCTTTCTCTGTGCCTTACTGGAGTGATTTTCACTGCAATTTTGTTGTCTTTTTGCCACTTGGCCCTTTTCTGCTATTTACTTTTCCTGTACTAATGCCTCCTCTGCACAATGAGAAAAATCTTAATGGGAGACTTTGCCTTACATTTCTTTACATCTCCCAAGATATCTGCCCAGTGTTGGGGGACTTCTTGGTTGACTTCACCTGTTATTCTCAACTTCAAGATGCACCAGAGGAACCTCCAGCTTCTGTTTCACCACCCAATCGCTGCTGGGCCGGAGGGACCAATGGGCTCTACATCCATTAGTCTCCTTTCCCTTTCTTGTCTGTAACGCTTACTCTTATCCCATTCCAGCCCATCCTCAAGAAATGAGAGGAAACTCCCCTTATACCTATGCTGGACTGTCTCTATCCTTCCAATGACTACCTCCTTCCTTACCTGAGACACAGAGCAGTAGCAACAGCAGCGGCCAATGCAACGCCCAGAGTCCTGCACACTGCATTCTGTCTCACTGCCCAGGACCACTGTTCTCCATCTGTCCCAGGGCCTCTCCCAGTTGCCAGTTACTGCAGGATGTTGCCGCACATACATGTTTACCTTCTTTCCTGAGAGGTGGGACTCCTTTGACAATTGAGAAACCCTGGGGCAAACATGACCAGGGAAAATAGCTCAGGAAAATGCGGAAGATGAAGAAAGGAGAGATGGTCGCCCTTGTGACAGCTTCCTTCCTGCCATCATACTGTCACAATCCTGTTGGGAATACTCAGTGGCTCTGCATTCTGCACCATGGCAAGTCTAGACCCACCCACCTGACATCTCCACTGCGCCACTCAATCCCTCAGGTCACCAAGACCTCCTGATCACTGTCCACTGATTCCCATATCCCTCATTCCAATTTTCCAGTCTGGAATGATACAGTGCAAACGAATTTTGCTCAAGGCCAGGTTCAAGTCTTTCTGATGACCCCACCTTCTTGATTGATTGATTGATTATTTTAGAAAACAGGATTTATTGAGGATAGAATACCTCCCAGAGTGGAAGGGAACCCAAGGGGGTTGCCCAACCCAACCCTCTTTAATCTTACCCTGCACCACAAGCATGGGCATGTGGCTGCATCATTCCAGAATCTTGGCAAACCTACACACCCAGGCTGCACCCCTGCCCTAGGCCTTCTGATGTGGCAGGTCGGGGGAGGGACCTAGGAATCTGCATTTTAACAAGCAGCCCGGGTGATTGTGAGAAAAGTGGTCCAAAAACAGTCTGCCTACAAGAGCTCTGTATGAGGTCAGATGGGCCCTGCAGCCTGTCTCAGGTGCTCTGCTTGTGCATCACATGTGTGCTTCCCTGAGCTAACCAGTCCAGGCACAGGCATGGAGACTACAATTATAACAGTAAGAGCAGTAACCACCACCAGTGGGAGCCCTAACTGTACCAGCTACTTTACTCTGGTCATCTCACTGAATCGTGTCAATACTGGGAGATTGTGACAGAGGTATGCCCTCTTTTGGTTCTCCGGCACCAAACGCCTTTTCCATTTGAGGACAGGTCCCGATGCATAAGCCTCACTCAGATGGAGAGCCCTACTTCCCTTTCTGTTGAGGATAGAGGCAGATATCCCTGCCACCCTTCTCCCTGGCAGTTATGCTGCAGGTACATGACTTGGCCTGAGCCTGGCCACGTGCATGATTCTGCCCAGGATTCTAACTGCTGAGGATGAGACATGAAGTCAGGGCTAGCTGGAGATGTCTTACTCATAAGCAATTTAATCACAGTCCAGGAATAGCACGATGGCAAGGGATTGATGGCCTCAAGTGTCAGGGTGGTGGCACCAACAGCAACATGGCCAGACTGTCTCACACTATGACCTTGGTTATGGCCTCTGCTGCCTATTCTTTCTTGATTTCTTCCCATTTTCTAAACCTAGTCCTCCAACATTCTCATTGACTCTGAGTTACTGATATCCTTCTAGAATTCCTTTGCTGTTTTGGATAGCCAGTGTCAGATTCTGTTGTTGGCATCCAGAATCATCACTAGCATGGCTAGGCAGTATCATGCCCACTGAGAAAAGGAGGAATATTGACGCCCAGCAGGCAAACTGAGTTACCCAAAATCAGACATCTTGGGAAGATGCAGAGCTGGGATTCAACTCCAGACATTACTTTATTCCAAGGCTTGTGTCATTAACCACACAACACTGTTGGATCAGTCAACATCCCAGCAAGTCATAGGTGGCTCAATGAAACTGAGTAATTGAGGAGTGTTTCTTAAATATGTGGGTAGAATTTTTGGAAACCAGTAAGGGATACTTCAGTGCTCTGAGGCTGGCAACAGGGGTGATATTCCCACCTCAGAGGGCCTGCAGGGGCTGAACTGAACTTGGAGACAGCTGTGGTAAGGGGTTTGAAGTATCCACTCTTGCCAACTCCCAGGAAGGGAGCTCCAAGGATAGAAATCTTAACCTCATTTTCTCCCCATCCTCTGCTCTCCACTCATGCTGCCCATTGGCCTAACCCAAGAAGAAGCTGGGGGCCAGGAACCTGCTGATTTAGCTACATTGGTCAGGTTCCTAGGTGGGGAAGGGAGAATGGAGAGCGGCCTCCAGGTGCAAGCAGGAGAGTATCCAGCACAGCCCTTTGTGTTCCAATTTAGCATATGTAATTGTTCAGGCATGCTTAATATGCTGGACTTAAATATCACTTAATCTCTAATTAAGTTAAGTGCACAAGCCCATGCAGTGGGTTACGTCTGGGTGAATCTATATGAATGTGTCATGGGCTCTGGTAAGGACCACGAAGTCTTCTTGAACACAAGTTTGAGAACCACTGAGAGAAAGCTGTATGCTCAAATATAGTAGGTTTTAAGGGACCCCAGGAGCTAAGCATTTATCTTATGCTCCAGGAGAATGGGATGCTGGTGGTCTAAAGACGTCACATGGAGAAACTATGCCCTAATGTGTTCTGCTGCTCCCACAAAGTAGTTACAGTTCCTCCTCGCCCTGAACATTTGTCAACTTCAAACACAGGAGCAACACTGGAATTGCTCGAGTGCAGGTCCCAGACCAGCAAGGTGAGCATGCAAACACTGTGTGCTATACAGTCACTGCCCTGAGCTGCTTGGTTCTTTTAGACAGGAAAATCAATGCACTGAGATGAACAGCATCTGGATCGAGGGCTTCTCTGAAGATTCTCACCAGAGCATCAGAGGGAAATGAATGCCCCTCACATATCTTCTGATGAACTCAAAATGGTGGGGGAAAGTCTCAGAAATCATCTCTCTGGGACCAGTGCCCTCCCCAGGGCAGGTTCTGATAGAGCAGTGTGCAGGTCAATGGGAAGTTTTGTGTGATGCAAGTGGGCTCAGGAAGTGGAAACTGTACCGTGACACTCAGGGTATTTTTTTCACAGGAGTCATGCTGATTGTAAAAATGTTTTCCTAACCTCAGATTGTACGTGTGGGACTAGGAAGGGTGGTGGTTCATACCTATATTCCCAGCATTTGGGGAGACTGAGATGGGAGGACTGCTTGAGGCCAGGAGTTCAAGACCAGCCTGGGCAACATAGTGAGACTTTGCCTCTACAAAAAATTAACTGGGTGTGGTGGCATATGCCTATAGTACCAGCTACTTGGGAGACTGCAGCAGAAGGATCACTTGGGCCCAGGAGATCAAGGCTGCGGTGAGCCATGATCATGCCTGGGTGACAGAGTAAGACCCCAGTTCAAAAAAAAAAAAAAGAATCGTATGTGTGGGAAGGGGAGGTTGCTCTTGGGGAATTGAGGATGATATTGACCTTGGCCATTGCTGACTTGGGATGGAAAGACCCGCCATCCTTTCCCCAATCATGAGGTCCTTCTCATTTAGAGCCCAAAGAGGTAGAAAATGGCAAAAATCCTGACAGAAATCTGTTGGAGATTGCAAAACACAAGTGGGTCTGAATACCTGTTTCATGGGGAAGGGCACTGGAGAGTTGAAGGAGGAGTTCCAGGAGCTGACTGGGGGAGGCAGAGGAAGGCAAAGTGGGGAGCTAGGAGAGCACGTTGGACAGCCTCCAGAAGCCTCAGTGGGGACAGCGTTTCCCCCACCATTCCTGCCCCTTATGTGATACACGAAAAGAGTCATTCAGACAAAGGCAGAACTCTGGGTTATTTTATTCTCTGTGGCTTTGGGGTCCTTGAGTCAAGGAGCACTTTCACTTTTGTTCCTGCCAGTAAATGGTGACTTCTACTCATGTGGCCTCATTGTAGTCACATGCAGCACTCTCTTCATGGAGTTGTTTTCTGGATCCAGAGATAAATGCACACAGCACGTCTGATATTGTCTACTGATGCTATCCCGTGAATCCCACCTGCCAGCATTTTCCCAGGACAGGATATTCCATTTAACTTGTTTTCTCTTTCCCCAATATGCATTTCTCACCACGGTGTCTTGTTTTCTTAATGTTTTGTGATTTTCAACATCCTATTCTGGGAGTGTTGGAAAAGATGACATATGAAGAATGAAACCCAAGTGTTGGATGCTAGAGAAAGGATGTCCAAGTGGTAGGGAGAGCAGGATACTCCTGGAATGAGAGCTCTCTCTAGGTCAGGCCAAAATTGTATGGCCCGGGGCAAGGATGAGCAGGAAGAATATCAGGTGTGCCCTCTGCACCTCATGACTCTCATAACAGGGCAAAATTGAAAAGCATTAGGCTGTCTGAATTTCATACAAACCCTGAGTAGCTGGTGGAATGAGGGGCCAGGCATGTATCTTCTTTTCTGAGGGGGCAAAGCACACACCCAAGGATATTAGGGCAGTTGGCAGGGTCAGAGAGGTGGGAGCTTGACTTTAGAAGTTGCCTATGATCGCAGATTAAATTCATGTCGTTAACTGTCCCCATTTTCCTTCTTCCCCCAACTTTCCTCTCCCAACACAACTGCTAGATGGATGTGGCTGGAGATCAGAGGTCATTCTCATGGATTCATGGGCTAGGGTCCAAATGACCTCTGTGTGACAGCAAACAGGATAGAGAAGACCAGGCTCTTACTCAGGAGTCCACAGACCACGGGGACCACAATGCTGAACACAGAGACCCTGGAGGAGAAAGAAGAGTGAATGCTCCTGCTAGCAATGACACCCCCACACTTGCATGTTCACACTAGAAGATTCCTTCTTGTCCCAATCTTATGTACTTAGGTCCTTCCAGCACCTATCTCATACCATATCTGTGCATTTCAGTTTGTCCCATTGCCTGAAATTACTGATTAGAAATATGTTTATTGGAGAGAATAGGTCCATTTTCAAGAGAGGAACCAGTGAGGAAGGGTAACAAGCACCATCCTCCTGCCATATGATGTGGAAAGGAGAGGGGGATCTGGGGCCAGGACACTTGGTCTTTATTCACTCAGGGATTGTCACCTCTTTCACTTGAGTTTCCTCATCTATAAACTGAGAAGAATCCAACTCTAGTGAAAAGCCCATCACGAGTTTGTATAGACTGTAGCAAAATCATTCTAAGTAAACATCAACAGGTACCATAAGAAAGAGATGTATGTGACTGAAAAAACTCAGCCTGTTCCAGCAGCAGACGTGGTAATAGACGAGAAAGAACACGAGCACTCTGCATAAGACATGGGGACAAACAGAAGGATGGGTATCAATGGAACAAACAAAAGGCCAACTAATGTGATGTGGGAAGTTAGCGTCTAAGGCAATCAGCAACCCAGTAGGCAAGGCAAGGACTGCTTAGTAATTAGTCTTGTGGCATCTGGACAGTAATGTGATGAAAAGGTAATCTGTTCTACCATTTAGACTACGTAGCAAAATAAATAAAACTTTCCATGGACTAAGGATGCAAATAAAATGAAACAAAACTATAGAAAAGTCACCAGGAGACCAGGTGCGGTAGCTCACGCCTATAATCACAGCGCTTTGGGAAGCCAAGGTGAGGATTGCCAGAACCCATGGGTTCGAGACCAACCTGGGCAACTTGGCGAGACTTCATCTCTACAATAAAATCAAAAAATTAGCCGGGTGTGGTGGCATGTGTCTGTAGTTCTAGCTACTTGGAAGGCTGAGGAGGAAGGATCACCTGAGCCCAACAGGTCAAGACTGCGGTGGCCCTGAGCATGCCACTGCACTCCAACCTGGGCAACAGAGTGACACTTTGACTCAAAAAAAAAAAAGTCACCAGGAAATCGAATCAAACACATCAAGGAATACAGCAAAGCGATTGATTTAAAATCAACACATAAGCCTATACAAAACTTAAAACCAAAGCACAACTAGCAAGGAAGGGAATTACATAATGGTGACAGATGGCAGCAAACTGCCCATTTGTCTGCAATCCACTCCCAGTCTAGGGCCCTGCCCTGTAGTGCAGAGGGCTACATTTTAAGGGCTTCCTGATCAAGTTCAGCAACAAGCAACCCTGGCAGAGGATGGTGGATACGGATGGGGACAGGGAAGCCAGCATCTCTTTTGCCCCTCACACTGTGGCTACATGCTGTATGGCCTCAGCACCTTCCCTAATTCCTGTGTGGCAACTGTAAGACTCCAGCTTCTGGGATCTGCTAACTCCAACTCCTCCCTAAGTCTCTCCTCCCAGTGATCTCATCCATATTATCTACCCTGAGTACTTTTCCATTTCCCTGCACTGAGCTCCAGGTCTTGTCCACTCTCAATGGACCACCACCTGCATCACTTTAGAGGCTGCACACAGGCTACCAATCCCCTGAAGTGTCTAGGAATTCATGTGCCCGGCCTTGGTTAGAGCTGTCCTTGCCATTGGGAGTATCAATATTCCAGTTTCTGTTCCTTACAGGGACAACTCTGAATGTGGTCCATGGGTCCCCAGAGTTCCCTTGTAAGACAGAACCAGAGTTACCCTGTGAGACACCCCTTGGTTATGACACCCCTGTTTGGCTTCCTTCCCTTCCCAGTCCTACTTCCTCAATGGCTTTGCCAAAGGCCTCATCCTAAAACATTTTAACAAGACCTTTTTCCTATTGCCTGTTTCTGGGGGGTCCCACCTTGGAGTAGGGTGATAGAAGCTACCTCTGCAGTGCCTCACCATCCCCAGGTTAGGATCTCAGCTCCTTCAACACCTAGGCAAACAACTCCCTGTGTTACATTTCTCCTTTTCCGAACAGCTGGAGTGGCTTCTGCTTTCCTGACTGGAGTCTGACGGACAGAATAGCAAATATTAGATCATAGCTAAAGTTAAGAGATAAGAGAAGTACATCCTCTAGCAGGAATATGGGGAAAAATTATTTACTTTCTTTTTCTTGAAAGCAGGATTTATTGAGAGGACAGAAAAGTGCCCACTCTGGGAGGGAACCCGAGGAGGTTGCCAAAAAATTATGTACTTTCAACTGATGTATTTCAAAATGAAATAGTGAAAAAAGAAAAACATTGGCTCTTACTAGCTCAATCATTTGATTTATGCCACAAAGGTTGAATAAGCACCTACTGTGTACCAGGCACTTAGGCTGGTGCCAGTGAAACATAATGGGGATAAAAGGCACTGTCTCTACCCACTTGGAGTGGGAGACCACATTCATAGATAAATTAAGGCAGGTCCCAGTTCACACCCATTTTAGCAGGAACACGTTTAACATAACAAATCCATGTCGGCAAACTTGCAGTGACCCTGCTTCACTTATGCATAATGAATCACATGGCAAACGGTTTCCAATCTATGGGAAGACCACTGGTATATGCTATGTGTATACAGAATGATATCAATGTTCAAATTCTCTTTTGGGAATTTCATCAAAATTAATTATTTAAATGAAGAAAAATACATAGGCAAGAATATGTTCATCTCAGAGTTAACAATACCACAAAAAATAAAACCATATTATTGTCTAAGAACAGGCAAATGACTATGTAAGTTATGGCTTTTCCAGTTGATAGAAAAGTATGCATTCACTGAAATTATATTTATGAAGTCTAGGTAGCAACGTCAAATAATTTTAGCAGAGAAAATAGTGAAAGTGTTCATGATTTACATTACTGCTATGTTAAAATATGCATAAACATGAATAAAGACTAGAAGAAAATCTGGAGTTAAAAAAAGCATGTTAGATTAGTGGGCATGTGGAAGAATATTTCTTTCTCTGTTAATTCAATATTTAATGATAAAAGCATTTTAAGGTAACTTAACACTCAATAATAACTGTAGAGAGGTATGTGGATGCTAAGTTAGTGGTTCTCAACTTTGCACATAAGAAATCTCCTGAAGATCTTTTTCAAAATGCAGAGTTGGACTGGGCGCCGTGGCTCATCCCTGTAATCCCAGCACTTTGGAAGACCAAGGCAAGAGGATTGCCTGAGCCCATGGGTTCAGGACCAGCCTGGGCAACTTGGCAAGTCCTCATCTCTACAACAAATTCAAAAATTATCTGGGTGTGGTGGCACATGACTGTAGTTCCAGCTACTTGGAAGGCTGAGGCAGAAGGATCGCCTGAGCCTAGCAGGTTGAGGCTGCGGTGACCGTGAGCATGCCACTGCACTCCAGCCTGGGCAACAGAATGAGACTCTAACTCAAAACAAATAAACAAACAAAAAACAACAACAAAAATAAAACAAGCAATAAAAAATGCAGAGATGAACCTTGGCTCAAGAATTCTGATTCTATTGGCCTGTGGTTGGGCACATGCATCAGCATTTAGATAAACAAAGCATAACAAAGCAAAACTCAGTGCTGCAGATAATTCTAACATGCAGCTCCTGCTGAGAGCTGTTGAGTAGATACTGTCTTCCAGAGCTGGTTTTCTAGCATCCCTGTTGAACTGACAAGGAAACTGATCCCAGAGGGAGTTCCTGACTCACCCAAAGTCACACAGTCAGTGAGTCTGGCTGACACTAGATCCGAAGTCCCTCACTCAGAGTTTTCCCACTACCCATCAGGACCCCAGGGTTGGATGAGGTCCACTGGAATTTGGGAAAGATACCATTTCCCTCTCCTTACTACTGTGGTGTGCAAGGAAACCAGGAGGCTGAACTGGGGGAAGACAGCCTCACTGAGAGCTTCCTGGTTCCTCCAATACCACTTCTTTCTTTCCCTGGACATTTCCACCCATACTGAGGTGACTCAAGTCTGCCCCTATCCCACCCTCACCTTCCCTTTACTCCCCACATCCTCTCAGCACATGGACTGGGGAATAAAGGGCTCAGTGTCCACACCAGACACCCAGAGGCCTGGAAACCATACCTGGTAACATCCGTCACATTTTTAGTGTTGACTCCAGGACCAGAAGTGAGTGTGAGTGAAAACTGGGTCACAGTTCTGGGACTGGTATACGGCAGGCTCATAGCCTTGGTGGTGGGATGAAGACCTGTGGAAAGTTGGTTAGAATTGCTGGAGATAGGGGCATCTGAAGAATCTGCAAGAAGGAACATTGGATGGATGGATGAGCATGTGGGTAATTTGATGGACAAATTTTGGGGATATATAGATAGGAGAATGCATGGATGATGAAGGGGTTATATGGACACATAGATAGATGGATGAATCGGTAGATGAACTGATAAATGAAGGGATGGGTGGGTAGGTGGTAGTGTAAATGGAAACAAGGAGGGAAATGAACATGGCCAAGACAAGATTGTCTTTAGCTAAAACCAAAAAATACTGTAAGATCAGTCTGAGCCAGAGACAGGAAGAAGGAAGGAAGGAAGGGAGTGAGGGAGAGAGGACAGAAAGAGGGAAGAAGAAGGAATTTTTATGTGATTCATGTTATTGGAAATGCACTCGCCTTCTGTTTTTCATCAATCCCTCTGCCCTCAGCTTCTCCAAGAATAATTTTCGGAATACTTTATTCACTCTGCCTTTCATTCACCTGTACTTATAGCATATTGCTTTACAAGTGATCTTTTATTAGTATACTGCATATGCACCCTGTCTTTCTTAGGCTTAGAATTCCCTTAGTGCTAGGAACTTGAGCTGGTCTCCCTTTCCTCTGCCTTACGTAATTCATTCCCTAATTCATCATCTACTGAGGGTCTACTGTGCACAAAAAAACTACTTTATTTGCTAAGGATACAGAGCTCAGGAAGGCACATGCCCTTTTCTCAAGCAGCAGCTCTGAGATTAATAGGGGACACAGATAAGTAAACCAAGCTCTACTATGCAGTGAAATAGTATTGTATACAACAGGGACACCAAGTGAGCTCTGGAGACATGCTCTCCCAAAATAGGAGTTATGGACTAGCAGCATCGGCATCACCTAGGAGTTCATTGGAGATGCAGACTCTTGAGTCTCACCCTACACCTATCCAGTCAGAGTCTGCATTTGGAATAAGATGCCCTGGTGGTTTGTGCCCACAGCAAGGTCTGAGTTTTAGCAGCACACAGGTGGGCTACCCAATGTATCCTTGGGAGCGGGACAGTGATCACAGAAGGTTCTCCATGGACATGGCTTCCAAGTGGAGACCTGAAGGATGGGACTAAATTAGCCCAAATCCAGTGCTCACTTTAATTGTACCCCACTTACTATGACAGTACCTCAACTTCAGCTCTGCTACCCAAGGGGAGCACCATGCATAGAAGCCCCTACCTACTATTGGACTAAATGCCTCTCAAGGACCTCACATGAAAGACAAGGAGCTTCTGAAAGGAAGGCAGGCTGCTGGGTCTCCTGATCCCTGGCTCTGCTGGTGCTACCACCACTACCCGTCTCCTCTTCTGGCCTGTCTGTCTCCACTCACCTCCAGGCCACTCACCTTTGGTCACCACCAGGCGCACAAAGGTCAGATTGACCCTTTGAGGTTGGTCTATCACACACTGATACAGTCCAGAGTCTTGCACTCGAAGGTCAGTCATTTGGACGTGCATTAAAGAATCAGCAGGGATGTCTTCTAGAATGATTCTTCCAACTTGCACCCGACTGAATGTATCTGAAGACCTCTCTGTGAGTGCCAATGTCAGGGGTACTCCATTCTCCAGCCTCTGCCAAGCCTTCTGACTATTGGCAAACTTCCTGTCGACATAAAATTTCGTGCTGAAGGTCTGTCCCTCTGTGTGGTCATACTGTTTCTCAACTGGTTCAGCTGCCGCAGCTCCACGTTCTATAAGCAGGGAAAGAGAGTTAGGTTCTGTGAGAAATCTTTTTTTTCTCTTTGGAAAAAAAAAAAGAAAGAGAGAGAGAGAAGCCACTCGTTTTTCTTGTCCAACCACTCATTTTTCAGACACAGTTCTTGAGATCTCCAAAGAAGATGCAACTTTCCCAGCAAGCCCATACTAGAGCTCAGACCTTTTCACTATGAGCAATTTTTAGCTATAAAAGTGAGACTGCATATGGTCTAAGTAAATCAAATTTTATAAATGATAATTTCAACTAGAGACAGAACATGGGACATTGTACTAAGACCATGAGTATGGGGGAGGAAAGATTACAGAGAGGGACAGGGACAGTGTGGAGAGCGGATGCAGAGACATGATGCTAGCAGACACAACACCTTGAGAAATTTCATCTGAGTTAGGGCAAAGAGATCAGTTCAAGAAACTATTGGTCAAACAGTGAGAAAGCCATCTTGAAGGCATGGTGGGCAATAATACCTGCCAATTTGGCATTCCTGTCTTCCTTCCTTGGGCAGCAAAGCACCTTTTTCTCAAGGGAGACTTCCCACCTGGCTCTGCTGATGGGGCTGCCCACATTCTCAAGGATGGACACACATGACACAGGCTCGGGCATACTCTTAGAAGGTGAACCAGGCTAACCATCTAGAATAGGGAATGGTCTTCTGGTCTGGTCCAAGGGAGCCTTGAGGATGGGAGGCCAGGCAGAGTGGAAGTGAGGAGATCCTGGCCCATGTTTTCAGCTGAAAACTTGGGGCTCTGTAAGTTTACTGCTGGACAGTGCTGCTAAGTCAAACTGTGGGTCCAGCTGCTGCTATTACTGCTGTTACTACTACTACTAACTCATACACACATTTCAATCTTTTGGTGCCCAGTGAAAAATGCCAAGCGCTGCCCCTTTGGTGGATTCCCTTGTATGTCACCCCAGGAGAGGCCAATAGCTTTGCCTGACCTTGGGAAGACCCAACTCAGGGACTCATGGAGATTTTGAAGGTAAAACCAGGCTCAAAGATCAATTCTTCTGGAATGAGACATCAGTTTCTGAGGAAACCTTGCAAACAGGTCACCTGGGCGATTACCTCTCGAAGAGACAGAGGAGCAGAAGCTGAGAGTTGTCTTAATCCAAGTCAAGTTCCCTCACTTGTTCACTTGTTCATCAGATTGTGACCGAGAGGCTTCACGGTGACAGACACTGTGCTGAGCTCTGTGAAAGATACACTGACTCCAACCTCAAGTTGCCACCATCAAAGCCCTAGCCTCTTAAATTAGTGTTGCAGATAAATTTCCATTATTCACCAGCTCCCCCGGAAATATGGGAGTTTGCTTACAAACTTGCCTGTCTCTTACGAAAGAAGACAGTAAGAAACGAAGGCTAAAGTCAATGCACCATTGCAAGAAAGGAATTCCTTTTGTGAGTAAAAATAATAACAAGCCTGGCTCGGTGGCTCAGCCTGTAATCCCTCACTTGGGGAGGCTGAGGTAAGTGGATTGCCTGAGCCCGAGGGTTCGAGACCCACCTGGCAACTTGGCAAAACCTCATCTCTACAATAAATCAAAAATTAGCTGGGCATGGTAGTGC